AAAAAAAAGGTTTTTTTTTCAGAATTTAATGATTTTTCAGCAATTATAATGAATTTTAGTGTAATTATAATATGATATGAAAATTTTTTAATTAAAATAAATTAAAATTTAATATTTCTCGATAGTATTATTTCATAATTTATTATAACAATTTTAACTTTTTTTTTGGAAAATATAATAATGAAATAAGAATCAACATTTACAATTTTATATTTTGAAATTTATTTTTTCGTATTTTTCTCAGAAAAAATTAGAAAACAAAAATGTAATAATGAAAAAATATTTTACATCATATTTTGCTTTCTTCAAAATATCCTCCTCGCGCTTTTATAACTGCAGCACACACTCGAGACATCCGATCAATCAGCTTTTTTAATGTTATCTTGTCTATTTTTCGCCACTGCTCTTGAAGGACTTTCCACATATGATTTATGTTGGTTAATCGCACGTCTCGAATTATGCGATCCAATTGATCCCACAGTAGTTCAATAGGATTACAGTCTGGGCTTTGTGGGGGGCACACCATATTCTGAAGCACATTATATTTTTGTTTTTTTTTCCAAATAAGTTTTGCACAGTTTTGATGTGTGTTTTGGATCATTGTCTTGCTGTAACACAAATTTTTTTCCACTAACTCGAATGCCTGATGGAATAGCATGATGTTGAAGGATGCTGTGATATCTTTCTTTGTTTAATATCCCTTCAATTCTTACAATATCTCCCACAGAACTGCCTCCAAAACATCCCCATACCATGACAGATCCACCACCATGTTTGACAGTCGGCTGAATACACTGTTCAAGTATTCGTTCACCAGGCAAACGTAGAACGTAAAATCTTCGTTTTGATCCAAAGAGCTCGAATTTCGACTCGTCGGTAGACAAGACTTTTTTCCATTGAGAGGGAGTCCATTTTCTTGTCCAAGCAAATCTTTTCTTTCGATTGATCGGCCTTAAAAGAGGTTTTTTTTGCAGCTATACGTCCTATCAAATTAGCATCATTTAGACGTTGTTTTACTGTTGCAACCGATACTTCTGAATCTCTTGATGCGTTCAATTCCCGTCTAATATCTGGTGCTGTTTGAAATCGGTTCAGTTTACTAGTAACACGAATAAATTTATCTTTTTGTTTCGTTGTCACTGGAGGTCTACCAGATCGCAAAATGTTGTTAATTTCTCCTGATTTTTTGTACCTTTGAAGTCCTGCAGTCCCTTTGAAGTCGTAATGAATGTCCTGCTCTTCTTAGGCTTATAATAGCAGATCGTTTTCGATACGATATTTCCTTTCCTCCTGGAGTCATTGTAATTAGACAGTTGTATATTCAATGTCAACTCATTTATTGCTCGAAAAATACTGTCTAAAGTTTTAAAACAAGAGAATTTTTATCATAATTACATTTTTGTTTTCAAATTTTTTCTGAGAAAAATACGAAAAAATAAATTTCAAAATATATAATTGTAAACGTTGATTCTTATTTCATTATTATATTTTCCAAAAAAAAAAGTTAAAATTGTTATTGTAGAGGCTGTTGGTTGCGACAGCTGAGGATAATAGGAAGATGAATTACTTAGGTCCCATGCATGCCTAATGAGGAAAAAATCCTTATGGAGCTTTTGATCAAGAAAAATTTTAACATAACTTAAAATGTTAATATAACTTATATTGCTTTGAATTTTGTACTTTCAGATATCATAAAAAGGTGAATATTTATAACTGATTCAGAAATATTAAGAAAAATGATTTAGAAAAGATAGGATGGAGTTAAAGATCTTTTAACATAGCTGCCAACATGGATAGGAAAAAATCCAGTAGATTTTATGAAATAATATAAATATCATGATAACTGATGTATAATATACTAAATATTTTATGTATCGTATAGGGATTTTTATAGTCAGGGGTCTGTCTAGGTTTTTCTGAGAGGTACCTATTTTGTGAAAATTTAGACATAATTTGTGAAAAGTTAAAAATTATATTCAAAACTCAACACAAAAATATGGTTTTATTGTTTCTACCTTTTTTCTTAAAGTTGAATTTGTGAAACTACCGTTTTTCCTAAAGTTGAATTTGTGAAACTACCGTTTTTCTTAAAGTTGAATTTGTAATGGTATCGCCAAACGGTAGTAAACTCGGCCTGAACAGACCCCTGATAGTTAGCAGAATACAAAAACTTTTATCACACTAATAACCATATAAATGGTCTGCAATATTTTTCATTTATGATCGACATTAAATGAGCTAGAAATTTTTTTTTATTATGTTAACTTATTTTAAATAGTAATAAACAAGTAATTCAAAAAAAAAGATAGTTAAAAAAGTTTTTTTAATTAATTTAAAAAATGAGTTCTGAATAAAAATGAACTGAAAATTTTAGAGAAAAAAAACTTTTGAACTGTTTACTAACAATGAAGTTCGCTTCGTTATGTCTTAGCAATACTTATTCAAATACTCATACAAGCAATAAATTCTATTTCAATAGGAATTTTTTTTAGGAAACTTACACAATTTAGGGAATTTTCGAAAATGTACTAAACCAGGAGAATTATAATTAAACCAGTAGACCAGTAGAAACTGGCAAAGTATAATCTACTGGTAAATCCAGTAGAGTTGGCAGCTATGCTTTTAATATATTTAGGGAGATGTGCCCTTTAACTAATGTATAAAAATAGGAATGTTTTTTTGTTTTTTACATATAACACAGACAAGTAAACATTTACAGCACTGAAAAATCTAAATAAGTTTATAACAATATTTTTAAGCATACATTAGCTCTTTACATTAAATTTATTTATTTATTAGCATGAATATGCAAATTTAGATCTTTATGGACTTTTTGTTTGTTTAAAAATAAAGCTAAAAATATTTTAACACACTAGTTGTTTGTTATTTTTTTAATTTCTTCTTACTACTATTTTTACCTATTAAAAATAAAATTTAGCTTGATTTGACTTTAAATATTGCATAAATAAGTGTAAACATGAAGTAAAACTGAATTTTATGTGTTTAATTAAGCCTGAACAGAAACCCATACTCATAAACAATAAAAAAAAAAGGAATGGTTTATACTAGAGACACTTACTATTATAGAAGGAGAGTTTGTTCCAGATTCGGTCTTTCCAGTAGAGTCTAGTAACTGCTTTAGATAAAGTTTTACCAAAAGTGCCTAAATAAAAAATATAGAACAAAAAAAAAATTTTTATCCAAATTACAATTATAATTTTGTTCAATCATCAATTTAAAAATTAATATTAAAATTCAACATTAAAAATTTAATATTTTAATTTCAGTATAAAATTTTGGCATTATCCTAATTACCTGTTATTAATTTATTATTTTTTACAAAATTGTTTTTTAAATGTTACAGCATGTTTCTTACAATGTTACACATTTTTCTATGACCCAAAAGACTGTAACCCATAGTTTGAAAAGCTCCGACTTAAATACAGTGGTTTGCAGGGAGAGAACAACCAGTCGAGAGCTGAGTGCATAAGATCTGGTACTAGCTTATGCACTAGGATTGTTTTTATCAGAAGGTTAGATTTTTCATTAGGTAAATGCTTGATTCAAACAATCGAGCTTTCAAATAATCTAACTTTTAAATATAAACTAACTTGAAATATTTTATAAATTTTATCTTTCAAACAAGTTTAATATTGAAGTTTAAAATCATTGAAATATTTTTCACATATAAAAAATTAAGAATATTTTATTAGAAATTAAATATTTTTACAAAAGAATAATTTCAGTTTACATTTACATGAAAATGAATTTAAAATAAGGATTTAAATTTCCAGGAATATGTATAATTCCAATGTTTTTTTCCTTTAATTAAAAAGTTTTTTTTTTTCATTCAATTCCTAATTATATTTCCAATAAATTTAATTTTATTTTCCTTTTATTAATTACATAATAACACTCCTATTCCAAAGGCATCAAATTGAAGTATTTTTCTTGAGCATTTTCATGCCCCTGTATGCTTCTGAATTGATACACTGCTCATTTAAAAATAAATCAAATTAAAAATACAAAAAACATAAGAGCAAATCAAAAATGTTCTTACCATTGCAGCGGAATCATTTTTCATTGATTTATCTGAAAGATAATTTGCAAACAAAATTATTTTTGAAAAAAAAATAAAATTAAAACATACCTTAAAAGAAAAATTGTTCACCTTTTAGTATTTCTTCCAGAAATTCTCTCAAAAGTGGAACACAATGCAGATCTGTATTTGGGGACTCAGACTAAAATTAAGATATATTTTGAAATAATGCAAATTATTTAATTTCATAAAATTAAAATATGATAATCTTTTGCACATAATTATTATAAAGTTTCAATAAAAAAAAACTTTACTGACATTTGAAATTTATTTTAAAAGTCAAAATTGAAAGTTAACTAATTTAAGATGAATTAAAAACTACAAAATGGTCTAAATAAATTGTATATTTTTAATTACGACTATGCATACCTGCCAACATGGGGAAAATAAAATAACGGAGATTTTATAAGCGACATTTTTTAGACTATAAGTTTTGATACATCATACATAATCATGTAAGTCAAAAAGATAAATTCAAAATTGGAAATAATATAAGCACTAACATTTAGCGAAGTAAAAAATATGTATATAAATCTTAATGTAAAAAATATTTTTTTAAACCACTATTTATAATTACTTAAACTATTAACCCTCAACATACTGCAGAGCTAGCTATAGAACTATCCTGTTGAGGAATAAGAGAAGTATTTTTGTCATCAGCAGATATTTTATTGCAATTTTTCATTTATTAATTTTTTTAAAATTTCAACAAATACAAGAAATTTGAGAATGAATGGGTAAACAGGAGATTGTGGTAAAATACAGGAATTTTCCAAAAAAAAACAGGAGACTTGGCAGGTACAACTATGTTACAATTAGTTTGACACTTATAAATTTAACATACACTAAAATTTTTAAGACAAAGAATTTTTAAAAATAGATTTCTACCAGAGAAGTAGAATTTCCAGATAATAAGAATGCATATTTTTCACAAAAAATAATTAAAATACAGTAGTTTAATAGAGTGGTACTTTTTTCATGAAAGAAGAACGAAAAAGTCTAAGTTTGATTAGTTATTAAGATTAAATAAAATCAAATATTTTATAAAAAAATTTTTACATTATAATAACAAACAATTAAAAGAATTAGCAATATTTTTTTATAAACTGAAATTCTAAAGTTCAGGAGCTTCAGTTTTTGAAGAAATTTTCAACTGTCGCTAAAGTTTTAGTTTCAATATTTTTTTTAATGCATTTTTTAATAGTAAAAAACTTACAATTTGTACATTTCTATACTTTTTTCACAATTAAAAATACAAACTTGCTAAAAATCTAAATCAATATATTTAGAATCTTTTTTTATATTAAACTTAATCATTTGTTTCTTGGTTTAGTTATCAGTAAGAACGCCAGATAACTAATAATTTATAGTTCAAAAAATAAAACTTTCAGATGATTTCTGTGTAGTAGTTGAAAAGAAGTAAAATAAGATAATGAATTTGTAAATAAAATTGACTTACATAAATAAAAGAACCTGCAGATAATAATGTTAAAATAAATCTTTGCATATCTAAAAATTGAAAAAAATAGAAGAAAAAAAATTCTTTTAACTTAAACCAGTGGTCGGCAAAGTGCGGCTCCAGAGCCGCATGTGGCTCTTTGGCTCCGTAAGTGCGGCTCTGGCGCAAATATCCACGGAGGGCGCAATAATATTTTCATTTTAAAAAAAAAACTTAAAAAATTGAAATACAATTGCTGGATTTAAAAAACAAGAAGATATGGGGCTCTAAATTCGAACGTCTTTGTGTTGAATTGGAAATATTGGAGGAGGAAAAATGTGATGTTAGTTCACAACACAAGTGGTCTGCTTTGAATGACCTGGAGAAGGAAAACATGATCATTTTCAACGCTTGGAATAGTATTCCTGACTCTTTCGATCAGTTGAAAAAGCTCGCGTTTGCTGTTCTTTCCCTTTTCGGTTCTACATATATATGATAACAATCTTTTTCAAGCATGAACATTATCAAGAGTAAACTGAGAAGTCGTCCTATTGATGAGAACTTGGATCCATGCCTAAAATTAAGAACAACAACATACAAACCTGACTTACTCAAACTTTCCAAGGAGATGCAAGCACATTGTTCGGATTAATAAACACTTATTAAGTATGAAATTTAGTTTTATTTAGTGTACTACTTATTTAGTGTAATAAAAGCTGACGAAAGAAGCAGATTTGGCTCCCAATTTTTTTAAAAATTGCTGTAATGTTCATATTTGGCTCTTTGGCTAATAAGTTTGCCGACCACTGACTTAAACAAAGGTAATAATTTTTAACATCTTGCCTACAACTGATTGGCGACATTATCATAAAATAAGGTTTAACCTCTTTTTTTTTAGCAAAATCAATTATCATCCAATTTGATAGCCAAAATGATTGTCTGTAATATCTGATATAATTAGCAAATAACAAAATTTGAAATTTTATAATTTTGGCATACTTGATTTAATATTCTACATTAAAAACCATACAATCTTTATTACTCTTGAAATAAACAACAGCCAAATTTTATATGTAATAATAAACATAAATTTTACCTGTAAAAATTGAATAACGTCAGAAAGACTATACATTTTCTTGTCAACGTAGCTGATAAGTAAATCAACAAACGCATCTGGTCTCGTCTGTTTCATAAACTAAAATATAACACAATTTTTAAATAAGTGGTAATTATAATGCTGAAGAATAAATAATAAAGACATTTATAGCCAGGGATACAAAATGCATGAAAACAAATAAGAAAGACAGTTAAGAGAAAAAGACTTAATATGAACTGTTGTAAAAAAATTTAATTACGAAGTAAAATAAACGTATTTTACTATTATCTTTTAATACAGTGTTTACGAATTTACCACTTGATAGCACTGCTTACGTCAAGTATAATTATTTTACTTTCATTACACATTTAATTCCCTCTTAAAATGTAATCACCAGGGCTGGGATGTTAATAACCTATAAATTCTTAAAAATATCCTTAAATAATGCACACAAAAAAACCTCTAAAACACATTAAATATATCCTTCAAATGAAAAATAATGTCCTTAAAATTTTTCAATAGCATGTTTTAAATTAGTTTTTTTACGAAAAAAAATTTTAATCATAACTTGTATTCATAAATTAGTAAAAAAGGTGATAATTAAAATAAATGTACAATTTGAGATTAAAATAAAATGTAAGTGAATTTTTTGGGTTTATGACTACTAATGTTCAACTCTGTACCCTTGTAATTTTGAACCCAATCCAGAAGACAAGGGAACTCCTGGATCAGGTATTGGGAGAATTTTCCCTTTGTGCGGGACTTTTTGATTAAACTAACCAACATTTGCATTACATGGAGAGGACAACAACCAAAACCTCCATGGTTAGCCTGACGGCAAGGGGACTCTAACCCAGGATTCGTCTACTGAGAATATTTTACGTCAGCACTGAGGTCGGTGCAAGCCGGGTGCATTTTTTGTATTGACCAGCTATTACTGGGATTCGAAACTGGTTCACCTCATTGGAAGGCCAAAGCTCTATCCCCTGAGACATCATGGCTCAACTAAATTTATTGTGGATTTTTTTTTTTACCCAGTTCTTGAAGTTTATCTGAAGTTACGTTTTTCTCTAACAAATCTACATAAAAAAGATGTGCATGAATGAAATTATTGTGCATGAATGAAACCTTAGGAGGAAAGAAAGAGTGCTGATAAGGGGGAATTAATATCTCGTTAACAAGATTTTGCCTAAAAACGAAATTTAAATGTTAGATTAGCGGAACTCTGAAAAAATTTTGTCAGAATATAAAGTATTGATTCCTGGAAATCCGCAAATTAACAGTCTAAGATTCACGGAATCCCGCGAATTAGCAGAAGAATCACATGTCTGGTTAGTGAAAGTGAATACTTTAGAAAGACTTATAACTTTGCAATGCAGCACACACAAAATTTATTATTTACTACAATTTTATGAATACAATTAAATATTTTATAACAGAACGAAAAACATTGAAAGTCACTACACAGAAAAATTTATTTATTCATTTGAAGAGAAAAAAATAATACTATAAGATAGAGAATAAAAACAACAAGTGAATTAATTTTTTAACGAATACTTACTTTGCCAAAAGAAGTCAAACTCATGCCAGACCAAAGTTTGTTAGGAATGTTTGTAATGATGCTCAACAGATCAGTCTGAATAAATAATAAAATAAACTGTTGATAAAAGTAAATAATCATTTCAAAAGTAGCCGAAATCAGCTTAAAAAATGTAAAACAAACCAATTATGAATAATCAGTCATCAAAATAAAGGCTATTACTTTTCAACTCAATTTTTTGAAACTGGTTACTACCGGATAAATATTATAGCTTTGAGTAGTTACAAAATAAGTTCATATTTATGATGGAATTTCATTGAGAAGATTTTTTTTCAAGTGGCTCAACAAGTTTTTACTATCTCAATTAGCTTTCTCTCAAATCTCTAAACTTTAGTAAATAAACTAAATAATATTTTAAAAAACTTTAGCAAGGTGAGTAGCCAAATCTTTCAATAAAAAATAAGCAAATTTTAAGTACTTTTTAAGCAGTCAAGAAATATTTCTAAGCACTATATACATTAACAAAATGCAAAATAATTTTCAAATACTTTACATGATCATGATAAAGTAACTAGTTTCTGACAAAGAACTCTTCTCTTGATTATAATTAGCCATTATAAAATTATCAAGAGATTTTTTAGTTCAATATCAGAGGTTGGAAAATGAAGCTTGAAATTGAGAATATCTTGCAAAATGCAGCTGAGTTGCACATGAGAGTGCAAGAATCTCATCGAGCCCAGCTCAGTAGACGCACATGCGGACTCGGAAACATTACATCAAACATGCAAAATAATTGGAGCTTTATTAAAAGGGGGTAGCTATATAGCATGGGCCGACAGTCAGCAAAATGGATTGTCATTGAATGAACTGTAAAAATTTTGAAAAGAACAATGTAAAAAGAAAAGTATGAAAAGTACGCTTTTGCATAATACATGGTGAAAATCAACATGGTAAAGAAAAAAATCTTATTTTCGAAAAGGGAAAATCAAGCACTTTTTGAAAACACCTGATATAAAAAGCCCCTTTAAAGGCTTTCAAAAAAACGAAAATGGAAAATAAGCACTTTTAACCACTTTTTAAAAACGCTACGCACCATGTTTAGTAAAAGGGGGATATAATGTTAGACAGAATGTATAAGAATTTTACATTTTTAGGTTTAATTTTCAAGCAGAATGTTACTTATACATTAATTTATGTAAATGAATGTTTAACTAGAGTAATATTTGAACAGAGCTAGCTAACATAGCTAGAGTAATATTTGAATATCCCACTTAGATAATTGTCATTTAATATGAAAATGTAAACAAATTCTTAAATTTGCATTGCAATTTGCACATAATTAATACCAAAAAAAATATTTTCTGAGTAGATATTAATTTAAATATTGAATTTAAAACTTATCCTCTAGCTTCAAATAAAAATTTTAACAAATTGAGAGATCTAAAATTTATTTCTCCACTTTCTCTATTTTTATATAGTGATTTTTAATGAAAGACTGTGTTTTGTTAGTTTGTGCCAAACTTTTTAGCATCATATTGAAATTTTCACACCTGGCAAGACCGTTATTTTTGACATACACTTTCAAGTCAAACAAATAATCAGAAAACAAACTGTGGCTAATCTCAGTTAATGTCAGACTAAGCCAAATATTTAAGAAAGGTAGATGGAGAATCGCAGAATTGGTAAGATCAAAATGTTTCGTTTTTTTTACTTACATAAATGTAAAAATGGAATAAGATTCTTATCTATGTAAAGACACTTATCTTTGTAAATATAGAATTAAAATAGTCATGTATATTAAAGCCACCACATCTTTGAAACAAAAATAATCACATTTGATGCCCTGGTTACTAAGTGCAAAACGTTCAATATCTTTTCAAAAGATAGTATTACATTTTATGTATTTTAAGCCACCACATCTTTGAAATCAATATAATCACACTTGATGTTCTGGTAACTAAGAGCAAAACGTTCACTACCTTTGAAACAGATAAAATCACATTTTCTGCAGCTTCTGTGGTGCCCTTGAGTAGAAGTAAATACACAAGAGCAACAGTATCAGCAGCATTACTAATTGGACTGAGAGGACTGAAAAATTAAGAGGAATTTTTGAAAGTTTAACATAACTGAATCAAATTGTTGTTTCTAAATCTAAAAAACAATATAAAGTGAGTTTTTATAATATCAATTTTCACTTAAGCAATTTCACTAAATATTACACACAGAATATTATTGCAACATGATTTTCCATACATTTTATATTACATTAAGCAATGACAATTGCTGATCGGGCTGGAAAATTAGAATAAATTTTCCAAACATCAACAAAACCAAATAAAATTATTAATTTTAGGTAAAAAGAACAAATTTAAAATATAATTTAAAAAACACATTTGTACAACTTAATCGAACTTTATTGTAACATTGGTTTATTACTTTAATTAAACAATTGTTTATAATAATAATAGTTTTAACATGTATTCCAGATCCTTACACAGATTTTAAGCATCTATTTAAATGTAAAATAACATTAAATCTTTAATAAAAAAATTTTAATGATAAAAATATTAAACTACAACTTCAATAAATTAAATTATAAATTTATTAAACTATGTGTATTATGTATGAAGTCAATTAACTAAACAGGTGGAAAAGTGCCTAGGCAGGATATAAACTAGACTGAAAGTGTTATGAATACATATGAAACCCTCGGCTATGAAATCCTAAATGATTAACCTACTTTTTGTGGAACCCCTACTTCATAAATAAAGTTGATTAAAGAAATAGTGAACGATATAACCTATAAAAGACAATACTTAAATTATTTACTTAGAGTGAAGATTTTTCATCGCTTTATCATTAATAATCTTAAATTAGGTTTCATGTCCGACAGTCAAATTTGCAGTCATCTTGTGCTATATCTATTCTAGTCATGAATTTCTTTTTGGAGTAAAAACATAAGCTGAGAAAGAAAAAAATAAGCCGAATTATGGTTTACTTCAAAATGAAAATTTGTGGCCAGGATAACCTGGTTGGTAGGGCACTGGGTCCATATCCAAGAGGTCTTGGGCTCGATTCCCGCCAGCTGAAGACTCCCCGTGTAGTAAATTATGACTGATGCATGTTAAATCTGTCGAGTCACAAAGTCCTCCATGTTCCCATAACAAATCACACCACTGGGGGTACTGATCCAGGAGTTTCATTCTCCTCTGGATTGGTTCAAAATTACAAGGTTACGGAGTTGAACATTAGTAGTCGTAAATTCAAAATTTTGGGTCGGCTGTTCAACGAAGGTTATAAAAAAAATATTTCAAAAAATGAAAATTTAAAAGAACTGCTATAAAGGTTGAAAATGGTTATTAGGGAATCATATTTCTTTATTAAAGAATTTAATTATTCTATTTTGATTTGAAAAATGCAATAGGAAATACTAATGCAATATTTTGTAAATGCTTGCTCTTTCCATAATTCTGCATAGCCCTCATTACTGCTTTTACATTTTAACTGCTCTTACATTTTAATAAGATATATTAAATTTTATTAAATAAACTTGGATTTGCTAAACTTGTATTAAAAAAAGAATCTACTCACTGTTTCTTATTAGTCAATCTTCGCTTCAACAGCAAAATTGCTTTATCTTTATTATTTTTTTTAAAAAAAAGGAAAAAAAGTATATTAAAATGTAACATAATAAAGGCATTTTGAAACATAAATGCAATAAAAAAATTTCATTACCAAGTTTGTAACCGGTAAAATCGGAGCATAATACTATTTTCCACAGCATTTCAGGTGACTCATCAGCATAAGCAGACAAAATAGGGTCAGCAACTGCCTTAAATTAAAAACATATCCAACACCCATTAGAAAAAGAATCACACACACTGTTACAATGAATGTGAGAAAATGTCACGTACTTGGGGTAAAGGGAAAGACACATTTTTACTTTCACTGAATATTTTGGAATTCACATAGGCGATCAATGGCTTTAAAATATTGCCATACTTGGGCTGCAAGAGAGAAAAGTAATATTTGAGTAATAAAATCAATACCAATCATCTACATACATAATCTTATAAAGAAGCATTAGAAAAAAATCAAGATTTAAAAAATATATATATTATTTAGATCAGATATTTTTTTACATTTATCAAATAAAGCTCTGTTTCAACTATTAGTAGGAGGTCGTTAAAAGAGTGCATAAGAATGGGAAAAGGGTTTGTAATTCGATCATCTTTGAAGACAGATGTCCAAAATCATCAAAAACAAGTTTATATAATATTTACTACGTCTCAACTAAATTAACCCCTAATTACTTAATTCTTTTTGAGAAGAACATTACAATAATTTAAGTCTTTTCAACAATTTGGACGATTTTTTCTTTCTATTCTTTAGAGCATTTTGTACAAAAATGAAACAAATCAAGTACCGTAATTTCGTGGAGATACAAAATCTAAATAAATTATTTTTTAGTTTTTCTTTGAAAAATTCTTTTAGGATTTTTTTTTTTTCTAAAATAAGATTTTAGATTGCTGTTTTGAAAGCAAGATTGTTTCAGTTTTATTTTTAACAATTTTAATACTTATTTAAATTATTTTTTGATATATTAGTTATTTTATTCATATTTTAATGGTTACTTCAAATTAAAATTAGAAATTTCTTAATTTTACATAGAAAGTTATTCAAATCCATTTTATAAACTAGGATTGTTTCTATTTTTTGTATATTCCTTATCCTTCTATTGGCTTTTATTCAAATACTTAAATTATATACATATGCATATTTAGAACATGTGTTGTCTGTTATGAATACCTGCATTAGTATAGTAAAATTCGGCGGGACGTGTACAGTGAAAAGCTGTTCTTAAGCAGATTTTTGAGGGAGCAGTCTATACACCAGGGTCGCGTTTCTCCACTAAATTATGGTAATTAAGATTGCACGGAAGAATAAATTTGTCTTCAGAGTTACACTAAATAACTACAACTCAATTAAATATGTACTTAGTTTCGTTTTATCAATTAACCTCTATTATAAATTATTTCGAAAAATGTAACTATTCCTTAGCAATTCTCAAGCAGCGTATATATATATATATATATATATATATATATAAATAATTTTCATGGTCTTGACTTTTCACATTGTAATAGATGGATGCTTACTTGAAGACGAAACTCTAAGATCCTCTTGAGGACAAGTTCTGTAGAAAGTTGAGACAAATGGTAATAAGGAACAGCATTTAGCTTGAGGGAGGCATCAGAACTACAATAGAAAGTTTTTACTTAATTTTTTCGTTTGCACCGTACAGTTCTAAAAAGTTATATCAAAAACTAATTAACTAAATTTAAAATTAGCAGTTTCTGCTTACAATTAAAACAAACTATTCTTTACTCCAGATAAAAAATTCAAATTGAAACACACAAGTAATGTGTAATCATTGTTACAGTAAATGCTTTGATTAGTTAAAAGACAAAAACCTTCTAGAAATCAGACTTTATAAATTTGTGTAGCGATTGGTTGGCAGTTTAATTCAATACAAGAATTTGCTATTGACAAAGGAAACAATTATACATTAAATTATCAATAATATCTAAGATTACCACAAACATTAAACCAACTTGCTCGATAAAATATTCTAAAATAATATAAGTATGTATATTAGAAGTGCGCAAGTCGAAATTTTTCTGATAACAATCCCAAACTGCCAGTGATACACAGAGGCGTAGTCAGGTTAACTCTGCCAGGGGACAAACTCAGTTTTTGTGCCCCAAACAATATGGTGTAGGACTTAAAAGGGGGGGTTTTCAGGAAAATTTTAGTTAATGCAAAATCTTAAACCTACGATAGTTTGAATTTTTTTTTTTTTTTTAAATTTTACATTATGTAAGATTTTACAACTTTACATAATGCTTTTCAAAACAATGTAATTAAAAAACTGTACTTAAATAATATAATTAAATAATGTAATAAATCACTTGATAATTAAGTAACTGTAATTAAATAATGTAATAAATCACTTGATTGGGTTTAAAATTTAACAGTGTATGTTAAAGTAGTTTTTATTCCCCTTATATGTTTTTGATTGCAATTGTTTTTTGATCGAATAATAAGCATCTTTTCAAAAGATATTTTTAGTTCAATATGTTCATTGATATAATGAACTTTCATTACATAACACCAGCAATGTAAAAGTAAGTTTAAAAAATATCATGCATGGACAAATTTAATTATCCAATCTGTTTCAATAAATAGCTTTTTATTTCATTGAGTAAAAATTCATTCTATACACCTTAAACAGAAATCAATCTTACCAAATATAATAATCAGCCAGTAAGAGGCAGGATTTCTTAAGCAGGACCTCCATTTCTTTATTTGGGCCCAAGAAACATTGTGCCCTCAAAATCATGTGAGCCTCGCTCAGGAGGTCGTGATAAGTGAAAGGACTAGAAACTTTTTGACATTCTGCAACCTCTAGCTGATTAAAATAAGAATTACAAAAATAATTTTATTCGTTATCAATAATAATTACACAAAATAATATCACTTTGACTATGCTAAATTATTTTCTTTACAAGATTATTTCATGCAGTTAGTTTAAATAATCATAAAATAGTGCTTCACACTACACTTATATCCTATTTCCATGTGAATGTTATTTCACTCTAGTAAGATTAATTTAATTTGATTGAACACATCTTACAGATTAAGATACAAAAACTTAGCACTTCAACAACAAGGTAAGATTTTCAAATATCATCTTACAAATTAGAAACTGATTTGGGTACGTAAATCAGAAACTGATTTAGGCACCCAAACTCATTAGGTACATAAATCAGACCCTCACTTGAATACACTCATATAAGTTGAAAATACACTGTTTTCTGCATTTATTAGTCATTTTCAGTTAAATGTACCCAAAATAGTTATATTTCATTAGATAATACACCATATGTACCTTTTTAAATCCCTTTTCATGAATTACTAAGCTATTTAACCAAGTAGAGCCCATCGTCCACATTTGTTATAATCCTCAATTATCAATAATAATAATTGCATAAAAATTAGTTATATATTAGAATAATTACTTATCAATAATAATTAAATAAAAATTAATTATATATTAGAATAATTACTTATCAATAATAATTACATAAAATAATATCACTTTGAATATACTAACTGATTTTCTTTCCATAGAAATTTTTATTACAATTTTACAAAATTATTTACTACAGTGAATTTAAATAATCATAAAATAGTGCTTCCCATCTACACTTATATTGTATATCCATGTCAATGCTATTGCACTCTAAGATTAATTTAATTTGAATAAATGCATCTTATAGACTAATTAATAGAAGTTTAGCTCTTCAACAACAAAGTAAGATTTTCGGATATCATCTTGGGTACATAAATTAGAAACTGATTTAGGTACCCAAACTCATTAGGTGCATAAATCAGATCCTCACTTGAATATACACTTACATAGGTTGAAAATACACTGTTTTCTGGATTCATTAGTCATTCTCAGTTAAATGTACCCAACATAGTTTTATTTCATTTGATAATACACCATATGTATCTTTTCAAATCCCTTTTCATGAATTACTAAGCAATTTAACCAAGTAGAGCCCATCATCCTCATTAGTTATAATCCTAAAACTATATCATAATTTTACAGGTGATAAATTTCTAAAAATTGATTTCAAGCACTGATAAAAATAAAATTAACTTTTTTGTTTGTAAATAATTGTAAAAAGATAATTAAATATGCTTATCATAAAATGGAACATAATAAAATCATATTATACCATTACTTTTTATCATTATGCAAGAACATCTCTTTTTGTTTTAAACCTTTGCATATGCATATTAAACAAAATTAAAAATGTAATAAATCAAAGAAAGTTATTCAGGTAGGTATTTAACCTATATCGCATAAGAGCTGCACAATGGGCTATTGGCGACGGATTGGTAAACAACCCTGAGGATGATCCGAAGACATGCCATCGAAATTTTGATCCTCTGCAGAGGTGATGGCACCCTCGCTTTGGTAACCCAAGGACCTGAGCTTGAAATCAAGCGTTTTACGGTAGAACAGTTTAATGAGGAGTGCACCCGCGTTCCCTACACAGGCTGATCAAAGTAGTCATCCACCTGCTTACTGGCCGNTAAAAAATATAATGCATGGACAAATTTAATTATCCAATCTGTTTCAATAAATAGCTTTTTATTTCATTGAGTAAAAATTCATTGAGTTCTTTTTCTATACACCTTAAACAGAAATCAATCTTACCAAATATAATAATCAGCCAGTAAGAGGCAGGATTTCTTAAGCAGGACCTCCATTTCTTTATTTGGGCCCAAGAAACATTGTGCCCTCAAAATCATGTGAGCCTCGCTCAGGAGGTCGTGATAAGTGAAAGGACTAGAAACTTTTTGACATTCTGCAACCTCTAGCTGATTAAAATAAGAATTACAAAAATAATTTTATTCGTTATCAATAATAATTACACAAAATAATATCACTTTGACTATGCTAAATTATTTTCTTTCCATCGAAATTTTTTATGACAATTTCACAAAATTATTTCATACAGTTAATTTAAATAATCATAAAATAGTGCTTCACAACTACACTTATATCTTATTTCCATGTGAATGTTATTTCCCTCTAATAAGATTAATCCAGATAATATCATCTTACAAATTAGAAACTGATTTAGGTACCCAAACTCATTAGGTACATAATTCAGACCCTCACTTGAATATACCCTTATATAAGTTGAAAATACACTGTTTTCGGCATTCATTAGTCATTCTCAGTTAAATGTACCCGAAATAGTTATATTTAATTTGATAATACACCATATGTATCTTTTTAAATCCCTTTTCATGAATTACTAAACTATTTAACCCAGTAGTGCCCACTGTCCACATTAGTTATAATCCTCAATTATCAATAATAATTACATAAAAATTTGTTATATATTAGAATAATTAGTTATCAATAAAAATTACATAAAATAATATCACTTTGAATATACTAACTGATTTTCTTTCCATAGATATTTTTTATTACAATTTTACAAAATTATTTACTACAGTGAATTTAGTGCTTCACATCTACACTTATATTGTACTTCCATGTTAATGCTATTGCACTCAAGCAAGATTAATTTAATTTGAATAAATACATCTTATAGACTATGTAATAGAAGCTTAGCTCTTTAACGACAAAGTAAGATTTTCGGATGTCATCTTGGGTATGTAAATTAGAAACTGATTTAGGTACCCAAACTCATTAGGTACATAAATCAGACCCTCACTTGAATATACACTTATAAAAGTTGAAAATACACTGTTTTTCGCATTCATTAACCACTCTTAGTTAAATGTACCAAACATAGTTTTATTTTTGATAATACACCATATGTGACTCAAATTTAAAGAAAATCCTATTACACAAACCCCTAACGAACAGGAAAAGAGGTAGACCGAGGCTGAGATGGCTGGATTTAGTTGAGACTGATTTCCTTACTCTAAAGGAGAAAAACTGGCGAACAAGTGTCAAAAGTAGAGAGAAGTGGATTTGAATTCAAAGGAAGGCACTGGCCCACCTTGGGCTGTCTAGCCAGATATGATGATGATGAATACACTATATGTATCTTTTTAAATTCCTTTTTATGAGTTACTAAGCAATTTGACCAATTAGAGCCCATCATCCACATTAGTTATAATCCTAAAACTATATCATAATTTTACAGGTGTTCAGTTTCTAAAAATTGATTTCAAGCACTGATAAAAGTAAAAATAACTTTTTTATTCGTAAATAATTGTAAAAAAAAATTTTTATATGTTTATCATGAAACGGAACATAATAAAATCATATTATACCATTACTTTTAATCCTAATGCAGGAACATCTCTTTTAGTTTTAAACCTCTATGTATGCATATTATACAAAATTAAAAATGCAATAAATCAAAGAAAATCATTCAGGTAGGTATTTCACATACATAGTATTAGAGCTGCACAATGGGCTATTAGTGACGATCTGGAAAACATCCCTGAGGATGGTCCGAAGACATGACATCAAAATTTTGATCCTCTGCAGAGGTGATGGCACCCTCACTTTGGTAGCCCAAGGACCTGAGCTCGAAATCAAGCGTTTTACGGTAGAACAGTTTAACGAGAACCGATACAGCGCACCCTTGGCTGATCAAAGTAGTTATCCACCTGCTTACTGGCCGCAGCCAGTGATGTTAGACTTTGGTGTTTAACTGGGAACAATCAGTTCACTGCGGGACAAATATTATTTAGAAGGGAACACAAACATTGCAGGTCAATACCATTAAATATGGCATAAATAAATAATCTTCAAATAAATAATGTTATAACTTTTATACTGAGACCATTTAAGGAAATTTTGAACTTAAATATCTTTTTCGAGTTATTGAAATAAAATAAAAAGTTTAACGGCAAAACTTTTTCTCCAGCTGATTTTATGGCATCTAATATTAAGGCATTGATGTTTTAGAGAACTTATGACTTTGCCATTAAAGAATTCATTATTCAACACAGAAAGTAACAGGAAAACTTACCAGGTCCATGAATACCTGAGAAGGTGATGGCTCTTTTAAAGAATATAAAGTTGACCTGTTGCCCCCTTCAGTGCTAAAATTAAAATATGAGTCAAACTTCGAGTTCAGATCATACAGAAGAATTTTATGCACAAAATATTTCGCTTTTAGCTTGAACGTATTTAATATTTTAAAACTTATAATTTAGATTTAAATATTCTAATTTAGATTTAAATGTTCTTATTTTCCTTTTAGAATCAAAATTAAAACAAATTTCTGGAGAAAAAAAATGCAATTTTAAGCAAAAAAGATATAATAGAGACACAGCAAAGAAATATACTGTTTAGAACTAATTTTCATAGGTTTATATCATATTTAGATAAATATGAATTTAAAAAAACGTCCCAATAATATTTGAAACAAAAGAAAACTCCCATTTTAAATAAACTTATTTACCACCACCAACAAAATCATACTGAAATTAATAAATCATCAATCCAAAGTTAGTTCTAAAAGGGTATTGTACCGCCCTGCTAACGGTGTTCTGTTAATTTCCAAATGGGTTTTCAATATCTTTAATTACGGAAAACAGCGGTTTGGAGCAGGCGGGTGCAGAAATTTTCTGAGCAGCTTGGCGCAATTTGGCAACCCTGTAAATATTATGCTTAGAAAATATTTCTATCTTTAAGCATAAATATATTTAAACTTTTACTAAATATGCAATTGAAAAACTTTTGAGCCTATATTGTAATTTAATGAAGAAAAAAAACTGCAATGATTATTATCAGGGAAAAAAATTACATAATCCAACCAACATACTCAGAATTTGAAACAGAATCTTCTAAGGAAGAAACCAAAACTAAATGGTTGTCAGATTTAACCAAGTGATCAACACCAAGAAATGGACGCAATCCAAGAAGACATACTTCGCTGTCATATTTTGGAACTATCTGAAATAAAAACTAAAATTATTACTTGCATATCTACATCAACACATGGATTTTCGTTTAAATTCTGTGAAGACAAATTTTAAAAGGAAAAGTAGCACTTTCAAGATATAGTTAGTTTTCGTTTAAAACATATTTTCTATCTATTTTTTAATTTTAATTTTCTAATTTTGTATTTCTATTTAAGCCATATTTTTAAATTTTTACATTGCAAAAACTTCTTTATCAAGAACTAATCTATAGATTTTAAAAACTACAAAACTGATTACATAGTTTAAAATGATGCAAAAATTGGCATACCTAACAGTTCAAATGATTTTTTCTTCCCACTAAAGAAAATGATTAAAAAAAATTAATAGTAATAAAAATTACTTTTTGCCTAAATTGTTTTTGGATAAATGTATTTTATAATTATTTGCACAAGTTACTTAAGTTACTAATTAAATTATATCAGAAATATGCTTTTTTAAAGAAGTAAAATTAAAATTAAAGGGTTTACATTTTTCAATATTATCTGAAAGAACCAATTTAAACCATATTTTTTGGTTTTGTAGTAACCCTCTATTTTGCATGTCAAAAATCTGAATGTGTTGAATAAAAATGCTTGTTTACTTAGTGAAAGTATGCTTTAACTAAAATATTGTTTGTATAAATCAATTAGAATGTTTCACATTTGCCTCACAAATCATTAAGATTGTTATTTAGTATATCTGAAAATTCGATCATTAAATTAAAATTAGTTCCGAGTATATCATTTTTATTTTATTTATTTATTTATTTTGCACAATGTACACTTATAACAGAGCTTATCAAAATAAAACTTTGAATAAAACAAAAATTAATTTTATTGGGGGCTATTTAAAAATGATGCAAAGATTGGAGGAGGTTAGGGAAATTATGATAAAAGGGGACACAGTAACAAAATGTGTGACATCAAATATTTTAGTTAGACTTTAAAATCAGCAAATTATATATTTTTACAATACGTTTTTACCATCAGTCCACTGCGGGACTCAGAATATTATAAAACATTTATAATTGTACATTTATTAAAGAAATAAAAATTAAATGTCTATGAGGTGCATTTTTGACGAAAAAAGTGGAGGTGGGCTGTCAACTGGCAGACAATTATTTCATCACTTCGTGGCTGGTGGGAACCATTAATTTTGCCCAATAACAATGTAACAGACGCCCGGTGGCTGAGCGGTAGCGCTTCATGCTGTCGTGCCACAGATCCCTGGTTCGATCCTCGGGCCGGGCAAGGTTGACTCAGCCTTTCATCCCTTCAGTGGGTCGATAAATGAGTACCAAGCGTGCTTGGGAACTAAACACTGTGGGTTCCGCGTTCGGCTGATCACCTGACCGAAACATCTGCTCCTGAACCCCAGAGCCCAAGGTCAAGAAAACTGAGATGGGCACAGTAGGCCTTGGCCATCTATGGGCTGTCGCGCTGCTGAGTTTAGTTTTTTAACAATGTAACAAATCCTCTACAAAGGGAAATTTCTCCCAATACTTGATCTAAGAGTTCCCTTGTCTTCTGGATTGGGTTCAAAATTACCATGATATGAACATTGGTAGTTGTAAACTGAAAATTTGGTCGGCTGTTCAACGACAGTTATAAAATAAAAATGAAATAACAATATAACTTTACATACAACAATGGTAGAGAGTATAATGAAGAGTAGTAAAAAGTAAAATTATTCATTCTCACATTTTTAACATTATCAACACTTTCTACTTGTTCTAAGATGGAATGAGGTAGGTGCACAGTGTACGTCTCCAGACCAGTATCTGTTAGCGCATGCAGTAGAGAAGCTTCCAAGAAAACACCTTTCATTGTGGAAGTATATACATACGAATCAACAAATTGTGTCTCTTTAGTAATGTTATAGAGGAAGCCTTCAAGACAAGTTGAAAAGAAAACACCCATCGCCTTCAAAGAGGAGTGGCCAGATGTGATGTTTGGCCAAGGGAGAGAGAAACTGCACTTTTCAGATTCTGAAGCAGCAGCATTCAAAGGATCGAAAAAACCCTCTTTGGAAGATTCTGTAAGAAGTCAAATGAGCTTTAGTAACACATCATTGCAAACATTGGAGAAATAAAACAATGGTGATTTTACTAGCGATATTTTTAGGCTACGAGTAAAGTGTTTTAATACATCATGCATAAACATGTAAGTCAAAAAGAGAAATTCAAAATTGGAAATATAATATAAGCACTTATATTTAGCGAAGTAAAATATATATATATATATCTTAATCTAAAGAAGATTTTTTTTAAACCATTACTTATAATTACTTAAGCTATTAACACTCAACATTAGTACTGGCAATAGCAACTGTTGAGGAATAAGATAAATATTTCAGACATCAGTATTTTAGCTTTTTTATTGACAAATTTTTTTTCTTTTTTAAATCTCTTCAACAAATACGGAGAAATTTGAGAATATTTGGACAAACATGAGATAGTCGCAAAATACAGGAGTCTTCATTAAAAAACAGGAGACTTCGTTAAAAAGCAGGAGACTTGTTAGGTATAGTAACATTTGGATATGTAGCTTTTTTAATTTTTTTTATTTTATAAATCTTTTAGAAACTAGTTTATATTTATGAAACATCAAAATGTAAGGAAAGGAATTGTTAAAAATAAAACAATATAAAATCAGAAAAAAAAGGAAAAAAAACATGAATGGCCAAAACATATTTATTCTACGAAATGAGTAAAAGCAAAAACATCAAACCGGTCATGGATTGTAGTAAACTGTTATTTTTTTAAAATTTGTTTAGTGTTTTAAGATGTCATATTATTTTTATATTCAGTGAAAACATTTTTGATTATTGAAAGCAAAGGGAATTACTGTCAAAAATATTTATAATGTAAACTTTGAAACAGAAAGCTTTGTGTTTACTAGAATTTTAAGTTATTAAGATCATTTCTTACATCTTTAAACTTATCAACTAAATGTGGTAGTAATAGACCAGAGCAAATCAACCTTAAAAGGCTTTAAATAAATTCTGAAATACAAACACTTCAAAATTTTAATATGCATTTATTTATTATTCATGAAAAAAAAAAAATTTAAAGCTTCCTAGAACCTTAGAACTAATAATAAAAGAATATTTTAGTTCACTACATGTTTGAAATTAACCTGTTAGCAGATAATTAAATAAGTAATGAAACAAGATCTTAACTGAAATTTTTATTGTTTACACCCACAAAGTTAATGCGATTATGGAAAATTCTGGATTACAGAATAGTGTTATAGATTTTCTACTTTATAGTGTAACAGAAATCCTTTATTCACAAGGGTTAAATCTTAAAGAAAAAGTTTTTTTTCTGGAAAAAGTGAAGTAACATTAAGATTTATTAACAATACTGAACTCAAAAATCCTAATAATTTCTTGAGCAAAATCATTAATGATGCATTTAAAGAAATTTATATCTTTATAAATTTAATAAATCATTGATATTTTTTCACAACATGAAATTCTTAATAAATTATATGCAGCATAATTTAAATTAATAATTATGCATACATTTATTAGTCTACCAGAAAAAATATTTTCAAATGAAAGAGATGACAAGTATAATTTTTACTTTTAATAATAGTATTAAATAAAATAAACAAGATTTTTTGTATGTATAAATGTGATGGAAGATTTCTTAAAAATTCTGTACCTTTGATTTCCAAATAGCGGTTAACGAAAAATCCGGATTTTTTCCGGAACACAATCATCTCTGATATATTTAATGTTAAAATATTATAAATATAAATAATTATTTATTAATAAAATTATTAATTATTTATTAATAAAATTATTAATAATTAATAAATTTATTAATTATTAAAAATAATAATTACTAATAATAACTAATTCGTAATAAGCTATTAGTGATTATTAGTAGCTATTAATTACTATCAATTATTATTATGAATAATAATTAATAAATTTATTAACATAATTAATTAAAAATTGTAACATTATAAATTCATTATAATAACTTAAAAAAATATTACCCAACTCATGAAATGGTATAAGCTGCAATGATTTTAATGGCCCATCATTTTCTTTGAAAACAAATTGCCTAAATAATAAAATCACAGAATAAATATTGGATGAAATCGCTGGGAACATTTCAAACGTTCTCGAGTTCAGCCGGATGTCGACCGTACACCCTTTTACGGTCAGAAGTGGACCATTGAACTCACATTCATGGTCTTCAGAGAAGTTCTCATTTGCCTTGTCGATGGCATGTAAGTGAATGTTGATGGGAAATGAATTTGGATGGAGTTTTTCTTTAATATGATTCTCCCACACTTTATCTTTAGAGCCACTGTAAGTACAGGACTCGAATCTCCATTCAACAAAATTCTCATCGACTAATTCCGAATTTTTATCTTCATGCACAGCATCCGAGCAATCGTTATCGTCATCATTTTCACACACTTTAAAAACAACCACTGCTTTGTCAGACATGCAAGCAAAGTAGTTCTCGCATATGGTGACTTGCTTCACGAAAATAGGAGTAGTGATGTCGACGAAGTGATCGAAATCGTGATACGTCTGTTTCGATGCTGGGTGGATTTTTGTGCTGAAACAAAATACAGATATTATGTTTCCTAAACTCACAGCCAGAGCTGAAGTTTTGCTGCAAGATGCAATGAATATAGCCGGTTTCTCTAATGGCAGTTCAACCATTTCAAATTGCTTTTTCATTGAAGGATGATCCTCACTGGGTAGACTTGTAGATCCGGCTACTCGTACTCTCAAAGGCTGACTGTTTACATCAATCCACCATTTAAAATAAACTCTAACATAAGATACATTATTACTCTGCCATGATGCTTTACTTTCAATTGTTGCCACATAATTTCCTAAAAAAAATTCAATATTAATAAAAGAGAAACAAATTTGCAACAAAATAACAATTACCAGATAATATTTAATCATATCCACCAACGTGGATAGGAAATTATGAAATAAAATATAAATTTTATGAAATTAAATATAAATTTCATGATAACTGTTGCATAAAATATTTTACAAAAATGGATTTTTATTGTCATTATAATATAAAAACTTTATTACACTAATAACTACAAATGGTATGTGATATTTTCCATTTATAATTGATATTAAATGAACTTAAATGTTTTTTATTATGTTAACTCATTGCTTTGAATATTCAAATTGCCTTTTCATTGTTTGAACTCAACGTTTTAAATAGACAAGTAATTTATTATTGATAGTTAAAAGATTTTTTGATTAGTTCAAAATGGGAGTTGAAACTGAAAACTTATTATATAAATGAAGCTTCCTTCATTATGTGATAGTGATACTTATTTACATATTCAAGCAAGAAATGAATTATGAAAAAATTCTGTTTCAATATATGGATTTTTTTTTTTTAAGGAAATTTTTTAAAAAGTACAAAAATCAAGAGAATGTTTATTAAGCCTGAAGACCAGAAGAAACTGGCAAAATGCAGTAGTCTGCTGGTAAATTGAGTAGAACTGGTAATTATATGTAATGCATTAAAAAACGGATTTTCAAATGCCAAAAGCTTTTTATCAAAAAAAGAGAATGTTTGCATTTTTATTTATTTCTAATTGTTCTTATTTTACTCCAAGTTTGATTTTACATCTGAAATTTTAAAAAAGAAGCAATGAATTTTAGTACTACATGTTATTGGTATTTTCCTAAAAGAAAACAAGATTATTCCCGTTTTCATGCGATTTTATGTAAGAAAATTTTATTTTAATTCCTTTTTAATGAAATCATAATAATTTTACAAAAAACATTATTTAAATAAATTAAAAACGAAAAAAGTTCAATTTCCACCACTAATAAAACCACTAGATTACAAAATTAGCCTCCTTTAAAATCAAATCTGCAAGAACAGGACCAATATATAATATAAAAACATGTGAAAATGCTCTGCAAATAAAATCATTATCACAATTTTATGAAATCAAGCTTTTAGAAAACATATATTGTTTTTTAAATAAAAAAGGGAAAAAAGCGTACTTTTTTTTTCCTTCTAGTTCAGTTCAACAAATTCTAGGCTGCCATCCATGAACAAATCAATCAAAACTACAGTTGTAAATTATATTTTTTGAGGAAATTGAAAGGAAGTGTTCTTGAAAAATTATGTCAATGGTGCCACTATAAACTATATTAGCCACCATTGTTCATATATGAATGATGAAAGCTTGATTAATTTGATTGTCAGAAAAATGTTACTGGTTTTCAGAAAACACCTACCATTTGTGTAACAACTTAAACTATTTTTCAGGAATAGTTAAAGAAGAACAAAGCTATGATTTGAAAAGAAGAAAAAGATTCATTTCAGGGGCAGAATGTTATCAGCCACCAGTCCACAGCACCAGTAACAAAAAGTACTAGTCTGAGTACATTTTAATTGGTCCATTACACGTCCCTAATAGATTTAGACTTTATTTTTACAAAATTAACAATGCAGATAACATGAAAAAAGATAATCAAGCAGATTACTGAGAATATGTAATGCTCACAATTAATGATAAAATGTGCTATTTTGTGGCCAAAATAGTTAAATCATTTCAATTGCATTTTAGAATCAAACAATATGTTTGAAAAAACAGAGGAAGATTAGAGTTATTCTTGAAGATTAGAGTGGACACTGATCGAATTCTTTTCATTGACACCTCTTAATTACTATTAGGTATTACCCTCTATTTTTTTCGAAAAAAAGATGGTTTATCTCTCATTAATAAAAGCTTTAAGATTCGATAACAATCAAGAATGTTGATCTAAACTCAAATTTTTTTCTTTCTTTTTTATTCTTCTCTCTCCCTCAAAAAAAAAAAAAGCGTTGACTATATTTCATAATTTCTTGCTTTATTTTGCTTATTATCTTAGTATCATTTTATACTACTAAAGGAAAGTAAGAAACAAGCAATAAAAATCACTAATCTACAAGTATTTTCAATGCATAGGTATTCGCAAAAGATATATATTAAAAAAAGTGCAGATACTGCCCTTCAAAATTTTTTTATCAGATCCCCGAGAAACTAAAAAAGACAACACAGAAAGGGACAAACTCAAAAAAGGGGGATGTTACCATATTGTGATCTGTTGTTAAAACTTCAATCGCCAAGGAATAAATTTCAAACTTGCAAATTTAAAAAAAAAAAAAAAAAACATAAAAAAANAAACATGTAGATGTTTGCCCGAGGGTGGCTACGAGTTATACATTTCTAGTTGGTCCCTTTCTGTGATGTTTTTTTTTTAATTTCTCGAGGGCCGCTGCCCGGAAATTGCGAGATTATTCTGACACAGATCACAATACGGAAATCTTCCCTCAAAAACTATAGCTCGTAGCCACCTTCGAGCAAACATCTACATGCTTTTTTTTAAAAAATTGCAAGATTTGGCACCTTGGAAATTGTAGTTGGCATGACAGATCACGATACAGAAATAGCCCTAGAACAGAACACACATTTTAGTTCCTAAATTATTATATAATGTTATCAACTAATAAGGAATGAAGAACACTGTTTAATTCTCAATAAAAAAAATTTACTTAATTATATTGATAATAGAAGGTGACATACCTGATTCACAATACAATATTTGCTTAACTATATCAACAGTTGGGAAAGAATGGAGTACATTTCCACGGGCATCTAAATCATGAATATTGACGGCATGTTGCGTAGTGGAAACTAACAACTTATCTTGCGCACCACAAAATGCTACTGGTTCATTTTCAGAAAGAAAAACGTCTTGAGAAACAAAATGATGACAGGAAACCACTCGTACCATTTTATATTTTAATTTTGAGAATATTTCGAACGTTCAACAAGTCATAAATAGTATTGATTACCATATGAAACACCAAACCTTTTGACAATTTTTAAAAATCGATGATGAAACAGCTGCACAGTAATTTATTTTACAGAATAAATAGACCTTTTTATTTTAGTTATTGTAATCATGAATAAGGTATCATTTTTATGGATGAGGCAAACTGACTATAATATTTTGCAATTCGTACTTTTAGATTTTGCAATATTTACCGAAAAACATAAAATTTATAATACTATTACAGCCAAGATATGACTCGATAGCTTTGGTACACTACAAGAATTTCTTTGCTTAAACAAAAAAAATTCATTAATATAAATGATTATGAAGAAGTTATTGGTTTGAGCAAGAACTTGAGAGAAAACACGGAAACAGAAAGTAGATTATGTCACTAATGGGTCTGAAATATAAAAACGCAAGGACCGTTCGCACTAAAAAAAAATTTCTCTCATACAAAAATAAAGCGTGAAAGTAAACGGCACTTTAAATTTTCTACAGTGTGGTGTCATTCACGTTGCACCTATTTCGGTCGTTTAACTATGGACAATGGACACTCTGATTAGTGCAAGATCTAGGTATGCAAGGAGTTCGAAAGAATACAAGAAAATACAATTCGATAATTAGTTTCATTTTATTTCTTAATCGTCGTTGAACAGCCGACCAGATTTTGGGGTTTATGTCTACCAATGTTCAACACCGTAGTCTTGCAATTTTGAACCCATTCCAGAAGACAAGGGATCTTCTACATCAGTACACTGAGGTATTGATTTGTTATGGGAACTTGGAGGACTTTGTAACCCCGACAGATTTAACATGACCCAGTCACCATTTTATACACGGGTATTTTCGGGCGGCAGGATTCAAACTCCCATTCTAATGGAAGATAGTGGTTGCTGTTTAATATTTTACATGCGCTAATTTAATTTGATTTGAAAACATTGATTTTTTTTAAAATATGTATTCTATAGAATGATGTCCGTTAAGTTTAATTGGTTTGATGTCGTCAGAAGAGAAAAAAAACTTTTAATTTAATTAATAAGCTGAGTTTTAAATATGTTTACTAAAAACATTAAGTTACTTAGATGAAACAACAAAATCAATTGTTACAAAACGAATTTTTCTATTTAATACAATATGATCTGGCGAGCAGCTATTTAAAAGATCGAACATTCCGTTTGTTTATTTGTGGCTTGATGTCAGGCTCGCAGAAAATGCCGTTCACTGGTTAAATTTAGTAGCTTTCCCCATTAACGTGTGGAAAGTCATAGAGGAAGGAAGTACGTTAGTTTCTCTCTTGATTTTCATATAGATTAGAATTTTTTATGTTGGAAAACTATATGGAACTGAAAACTGCATTAAACATAGTTCTAAAGAAAAGTATCACGGAAATTTTAAAAAATATTTTTATTGAATAAAAAGGGAAAATATCGTAGTACATTCCTATACAGCTGAAAAGAGGAGGAGAGGGAAGGGCTAAAGGCATGAAACCGGTCTCTCCCAAAATGGCGTATTCGAGTGTTGCGATCGCCAATGTTCAACTCCGCAGTCTTGTAATTTGAGCCCAATCCAGCAGACAAGGAAATTCCAGGATCAAGTATTGGGAGAAATTTTTGTCTACGTGGAGGATTTGAGTTACAAGGAGTGGAAAACCACGAAAGCTTCCCATGGATAGGCTGACAAAAAGGAGACTCTAACACATGATCGACTGAGGATATTTTACGTCAGCATAGTTTTCGGTGCAAGCCTGGTGGGGAATCAGCACTGGGATTCGAACCAGCTTCACCTCATTGGGGGGCTATCCCTTGAGCCACCACTACACCAATTATTAGTTAGTAGTAAAACTTGCAGTAAAAAAATGTTGTTCGATGTACCGTTTGCTGAAATGCAACTACAGAGTTGAAATTTGACGCGCTGACAGGATCATTTCAAATTACAGCTTTAATTAAATTTCTTTCCTTTTTTTTCGAAATTCCTATTTCTTCGAAAGTGCTTTTTTTTCTTCCTTTAAATAATAATTATTTATCCATTGTTGTAAAGAAGTTTAACTTCTTCCAATTTTCATTTTATAAGAATTTTCGCGCTTTACTTGATGTCAAAAATAACACAAAATAAAAGAAGATCTAAAGCAGGGTTTCTTAACCTGTGGTTCATGAACCCCTAAGGGGTCCATGAGTTATATTTTGGGGGTCCGCTGACTACTCCTAATTTTTAAAACGTTTGGAAGCCTACCCATTGCTTGTAAAGCGAGTTATGGCAGCTATAATTCCNAAACTATTTCCAATGAGAACTATTATATGATATAAAGTTGATGTTTGATATTTAAAGCAAGTAAAATTACTTTTCATTTATTACTGCTTATTGTGTTGTATATTATGCATTCCTAAAGACAATTTTCCTTTAAGTACTTTCAATTATTTATCAAATTCAGCTATTTTTTTTCATTAAGTTATGCTTGCATAAAAATATGCTAACTACATATTTTATTAACAAAATTATCTTTTTTCTATCAACTTTTAAGAAGAGCAAGAGGTAAAACACGTTATACCCATAGCTTTCTCTGAGGAGAAAATGAACAAATTTTCGCACAGACAGGAACTGTTTTTCCAGAGCATAGTCCATCTTTACTGAGTAATAAGTCTGATGAAATCGGAGGTACCAATTTTCCATGTTATTGATTTGCCTAAATTTAATCATCTTCAAAATGTAACAGATAGTAATCCAATCCTAATTTTTGTAAAAATAGGACATAAACAGCTCTTTCCTTCAGCCTTCAATAATGAGTAATCAGGTGCAACCACGGGGGTTGATGAGTAAAGTGAGCAAGGGACGAGGCCTTCTAGTTCTTTTTTAATAATTGTTAAATTAAATAACATGTATAATTTAAATATAATTAAAAAAAACATTTTTCAGTATTAAGAAACAAAAATTTAAAACTGTATTCAGCTGGAATAGAACCCACGACTGCTCAGTTGTTTCGTATCAGATTTCAGACTGCCCCAAATGTACACAACTGCCTTAATTTTTTTTTAATTAACTAAGTCATTTAAATACTTGACATTCTTGATTTTGTCAATATTTTCAGGATATATTCTTTATGTAAAACTATTAGATTCGTGTTTTTTTTTCTTCAAATTTGCGATTTAAAAAAAAAAAAATTGGGGTGTCAAAATAGAACCTCTGAGATTTTGCGAACGACACACCTCTGTTAGCATGCTGTAAAATAAGCGAACCACGAAACGAATGAACCATGGACCTCACTAAAACTAATTATGGTCGCAGAACCTTCTATAAAATAGAACCTCTGAGATTTTGCGAACGACACACCTCTGTTAGCATGCTGTAAAATAAGCGAACCACGAAACGAATGAACCATGGACCTCACTAAAACTAATTATGGTCACAACTATCAGAATATGGCAACAGTTACGGTATTTATGGGAACAGCAAAAAACACGGTAATTTCCTTCCATAGCACTTTGGTTATGACTTCTCAGAAAATTAAATAATGAAATTATAGTTTTTTTACCATGCTGATCCGTAATTTTTTTTCCTCAATGCCCATCTGGAGAACGAGAACGACCTTCCGTCATACAAGCATCTGAGACAGAATTGTTGGCCACTCTTTCAGTGACACTAAATTAGGTGGGCCAACATTGCTCCCACAGTAAGGACAGAGAAGGAAAGAACACCCATGCCTTGCCCAGGATTCAAACTAGGAACCTTTTTCATTCAAGGCCAGTTCCCTGACTCCTACACAAGCTGGTGTCATGACAAAACAAATTTTATCATGACATCTCAGAGCAGCTGTTCTGTGTATTTTTTATAACCAGGTATGTGTACTTTTTATAACTTTTAGTTAGATAGCATTTTTTATAATCTCTAATTATATTTAGATCCTACCTATAATTCAAATCTCATTTAACCTTTCAGTTTTCTTATTGATATTATTTCAAGTACAAAACCAATCAAATGATATTTTTCAAAAGAAAATATATTTTTAATAACGATATATCTTAACGATATTATCTTATAATGTAATAATTGATAGTAACACTTATTTAAATATTCAAGCAAACAATCAGTGAAAAAATTCTTTTTCAACAGGGATTTTTTTTTAGGAAATTTTCTAATGTGTACAAAAAACAGAATTTTTATCATATTCAGTATAAGAGAATACACATCACATTTTTAATTAATTTCTTAAGTAAACATCTCTCTTCATCGAACATTAATGCTGACCCAAAGGTGTCAATTTCACCATGGTTGCTGTGAACCATCTATTTGTATTGAAGTAAAGTATGTTATGCTTTAACAGTTATTTCACCTTCTTTATTAAGAAACTATTGGACTACATTGGATTTCTAAAACAATTTTTTGAATAAATGGTTTTAAGATAAAATAAAATTTTGAATAAATACATTTCTAAGTTTTACTAAATTAATGGATTCAGACAAAAGCTGTTGAAGGTCATAACAATAACAATGTACACAGTAAAATTTTACATGACCAGAAATATTGACAATAAATATTAAAATATTTTTTTTTTTATTGCATAAGCTTAAAGTCGAACTTTAGATTGTCGAGTACTAGTTTGTCTGGGAAGTAAAGACTGCCCGTGCACAGTGCTGACCACACTGAAATAATCAAGCTGTTGGTCACAAAATTGTGGAGCCTTAACCTCCCACAATGTGTCGTTGCGACACCTTACCTTCACCTAAAGTTTACACCTTACCTTCAGTATTCTATTATAATTTTTTAAGGAAAAAAAAGTTTAAAACTTTCTGCAAAAATTTAATTTATTTGATAAAGGAAAGGAGCATTTGAGATGAAATTAAAAGATAATCAACAGAAACATTTTTGTTCGAAATAGGAAGTAAATAATATACACACTTTTTAAACAAAAACAATTTTTTATTAGAATAGATAATTTCTTTTTACGATTTACAGAAGCCTGTATTTCTTGTATACACAAATAGTTACAAGGCACAATAGATGCACACAAAAACAAAAGAATCTAGACAAAAGCATTATTAAAAAAAATCTATAAAATATTCTTTTTGGTCCTATAAAAATACACATTGTATAGTGAAATAACATTTATTCATTATAACAACGTAACAGTTTGTTCAAGCTAAGTAATTTTTTTTTTTAAATTTGAAGGCACAAATTTTAAGTGAGCAAATTGTCATAAAACTTAATTTTAATAAAAGGCAACCATTAATAATTGAAAAATGAAATTTTATACACTGTAAAATAACAAAGCATTAAATTTAATCTTATTTTTTTTACACAGGGTGCGTAGCCAAATCTTTGAAGCAAAAATAAGCACTTTTTAAAAACTTTTCAAGCACTTTACAAAAATTTTCAAGCACTCAAAAAATTCATATTCAATCAATGATATTATTGAAAAACAAAAACTTTTTATAAACAGTTTTAGCGTTAAAAAAAACCC